AAACAAGTCACAGGGGATGTGGATCTTGGAATATCAATATTTTCAACCCCCAAATCAATTTGCTGAACCATTGCTAAAGCATGGGAATATTTAGACAACAGGTAAATTAGGTTCAACAAAAACAGACATGTAACAAGTGTGAGTTACCTGAGGGTCTTTCAGGTTGTGCAGACCAATTATGCACAAGCCCTGTGATCTCTCCTTAACAGTCTGGTTAGACTAACTTTCAGTTAATTGACAAAGATGAATTAAGTACCTGATTCGTGTGCCTGCCTGGGGTTATTAAGAAGAAAAGTGTGCAATGTGGTCCCTACCCTCAAGTTGTTTACAACGTATTTGAGACGATGAAACTAAGATATGGGAAACAATTAGTGGAGTATGGAAGACAGCATATAATTAGGGGCTAAACTGTGTGGAGCAGACCACAGGACGATGAGAGAAGGAAGTGGTCTATATGGACCAGTGTAGTGCAGGAACGATTCACCAAACAGGTCAATTGAAGAAGCACGTTTTCCATGCACGCCATACATAGGCAGACCTACTATGTACCCACAAAAATTCAAATAATTTTTTTTTGAGACAGGGTCCAGCCCAGGCTGGAGTGCAGTGGCATGATCCCACTGCAACCTTCACCTCCTGGGCTCAACCCATCCTCCCGCTTCAGCCTCCCAAACAGCAGGGACTACAGGCACATGCCACCACGCCCGTCTAATTTTTGCATTATCTGTAGAGAAAGGGTTTCACCATGTTGCCCAGGCTGCTCTGGAGCTCCCAAGCTCAAGCAATCTGTCCCCCTTGGCCTCCCAAAGTGCTGGGATTAAAGGCGTGAGCCACTGTGCCCAGCCTAAAATAAAATAATTTTTTAAAAAATTAAGAAAAAAAAAAGCATGTTTTTTGTAGAAACTGGTGCATGAAGGGACAGGGTGCTTGAGTTGGGAGATAGGGCAGAGAGGGAGACTTAACTCTGGTAATTGGGGGGTTTTTGGTGGCCAGGCAGGGAAAAGGTTCTCTACACCCAAGGTACAGAGAAATTTTTTTTTTTTTTTTTTTTTGAGATGGAGTTTCGCTCTTGTTACCCAGGCTGGAGTGCAATGGCACGATCTTGGCTCACTGCAACCTCCGACTCCTGGGTTCAGGCAATTCTCCTGCCTTAGCCTCCTGAGTAGCTGGGATTACAGGCACACACCACCATGCCCAGCTAATTTTTTGTATTTTTTAGTAGAGACGGGGTTTCATCATGTTGACCATGATGGTCTTGATCGGTACAGAGAACTTTCATAGTCAGAGGAGTTTGGACCTAATTTAATACTCTTTCTTTCTTTCTTCTTTCTTTCTTTCTTTCTTTCTTTCTTTCTTTTTCTTTCTTTCTTAAGAGACAGGGTCTCACTCTGTCACCCAGGCTGGAGTGCAGTGGTGCCATTATGGCTCACTGTATCCTCAAACTCCTGGGTTCAGGCAATCCTTCTATGTCAGTCTCCCAGTAGCAGGGACTGCAGGCATGTGTCATCATGCCTGGTGAATTTAAAAATTTTTTTTGTAGAGATGGCATCTTGCCATGTTGCCCAGGCTGATCTCAAACTCCTGTGCTCAAGCAATCTTGCCACCTTGGCCTCCTAAAATGCCAGGATTGCAGGCATGGAGCCATTGCACCTGGCCCTTTTTTTTTTTTTTTCTTTGAGACGGAGTTTCGCTCTTGTTACCCAGGCTGGAGTGCAATGGCAGTGACCTCGGCTCACTGCAACCTCTGCCTCCTGGGTTCAAGCAATTCTCCTGCCTCAGCCTCCCGAGTAGCTGGGACTACAGGCGTGCGCCACCATGCCCAGCTAATTTTTGTATTTTTAGTAGAGACGGGGTTTCACCCTGTTGACTAGGATGGTCTCGATCTCTTGACCTCGTGATCCACCCATCTCGGTCTCCCAAAGTGCCTGGATTACAGGCGTGAGCCACCGCGCCTGGCCTGGCCCTCTTATTTTTAAAGACTTCAGAATATAGGGACTCAGCCGAGTGCAGTGGCTCATACCTGTAATCCCAGCACTTTGGGAGGCCGAAGCAGGAGGATACCTGAGGTTAGGAGTTGGAGACCAGCCTGGCCAACATGGTGAAACCCCATCACTACTAAAAATACGAAAATTAGCCAGACATAGTGGTGGGTGCCTGTAATCCCAACTATTTGGGAGGCTGAGGCAGGAGAATCACTTGAACCTGGGAAGCAGAGGTTGCAGGGAGCTGAGCTCGTGCCACTGCACTTAGACCTGGGTGACACAGCAAGACTCTGTCTAGAAAAAAAAAAAAAGAACACAGGGACCTGATAAAAGCAGTATTTTGTAATGATTCTTTGGCAACAGTATCACCGGAGCAGGAAAGACACCTGAAGCAGGGAGGCTGGCTGGAATCAGATACAGTAATCTAGAGTGGGTGGAATTTTATCTAGAAGAGTTGTGGTGGACATGGAGAGAAATAAGTAAAAATAGAGCTTTAATGAGAGCTTATTACATGCTGGAAAGGCATCTTACTCTCACAACAACCCAAGGTGATGCTGATATAAACTCATGTCAGCACTGATTTTCTGATATGGAAACTGTGGTTGAGGAGGTGAACTTGGGACTTGAGCCCAGAGACGGTATGTCTTAGAGCCAAGATTTGAGCCCAGTGTGAATCCTAACTCACTGTTTAGATGGAAGAGATTAAGAGGGGAGCAGTAGACATTTTGACCAAAGAATAACTCAGTCTAGTTAGGAAAACCCTGGGTTAGACAATGTTAACAGGTCATTTTCTCTCTCTTTATTCCTAGACCTCTATGGTGTCCTCTAGGGTGTTCTAGACGTCTACGAGGCTATTGCACATAGTGATTCTGCAAGAGAATTTAGTCTGAGGAGCATGTCTACACTGGCGTCGTGCAGAAGGCATTTGGAAAATGCTGGCATGGAATCTTCCTTCCTAGCCACGGTAAGCTCCATACTCAGGAATACCAGGGAATCATCAGGACTGGAAGCAAGAGTATTTCAATGACTGCTAGAGAGCCAGAGGTTAGGACTGGGATTAAGCAAAAGCAGGAAATAAGAGAGGCAGACAGAGGAGGCAGCTATCAGTCTGCCAAACTAGATTCAGGGATTTGGGCATTCAACGTGGGAAGGTGTAGGTCACAGGCAAATTCGTTCCAGAGAGAAGCTAGTGTCTGGAAGTCTAGTTTCTGCTACCTGTTGCTGGGTCCCGCTTTGCCTCACCTGGTTGGACCCTGCCAGGTCAGCCAGTCTCTCCTTCAGCATCTGAAAGTGCTAAGGCTGAACAGCTGATGCTCTTGATAGGGGGCTTAAGAAAGGTTAGTAGTTTTTCCTGGTTAGAGAAAGTGTTAGAGAATAAGGTTGCAGCAGCAGTGGCTGAATTTGGTTGATACCCTGGAGCCCCAGGTTTGTGAAATTTTACTTTGACTCAAGATGAAATTGGGAGTAATTCTAACGAGAAAACAAAGTGCTTGAGGAAGAGGATTCTTGCTGATATCTGAGGCTTTGGAAGGAGAAAAGGTTAAAACAAAACTGTAGCTGAGTTTAAAACTCAAGACCCTTTAAACACTGGCTGGCTTTAAAACTCTGCAACAGGCCAGGTGCGATGGCTCACACCTGTAATCCCAGCACTTTGGGAGACCGAGGCAGGCAGATCACCTGAGGTCAGGAGTTCAAGACCAAGCCTGACCAATGTGGTGAAACCCCGTCTCTACAAAAAAGAGAAAAGAAAAAAACTCTACTACAAATGATTAGAGCATTCGCCATGATTTCTAAAGCTTGCAATTTGACTTATGAATCTACACACTGATTACATTTTGGATATATTTGGCAGCCAAAGTAGAGCAGGAAATCATTATTGGATAAAAAGGGCCACACAGGAGGAAGTTTGTATTAGCAAATACCAACTTATATATTCACAGAATCCTATCATCTTAGTCCTAGAAGGACTCTATCCCCGCTGCCTTATGAAGGCCTTCTCTAAAATGTGTCCAAAGAGACAACAGTCTCTTTTCATTTAATAATCTGCCCCCCTTCCAACTTTCTGAAATGTATTCCAACCTCTGACACTCCTATCATATTAATTAAAATCCTTTTTTTTTTGTTATCTTCTCTCTGAACGTGGAAAACAGTTATCATCTTTTCTTTCAAAACCCTTCATATTCTAGAAAGCTATAATTACATTTCCCTCAATTTTCTCAGCTTTTGATGGAATACTATACATATGTATGGCTGACATTTGTTGACTTCTGGGGGTGTGTAGGGCACTGAGCATCTCACATAAATTATCTCATTTAGTTCTGACAAAAGCCTGTGAATCAAACATTCTTAGCCCCATTTGAGAGATAAAGAAACGGACACTTGAGGTTCAGAGGTTAATAATAGCTTTCAAATAGTGGTAAATAGAAGAGCCAGGATTGAAAAACTGCTGATGTTCCTGTGAACACATGCATTAAATTTCCCAAACCCGTCTGAGTTGACTTCCCTATGATTTTTTTTTTTTTTTTTTTTGACTGAGTTTTGCTCTTGTTGCCCAGGGTGGAGTGCAGTGTTGAGATGTCGTTTCACTGCAACCTCCGCCTCCTGGGTTCAAGCAATTCTCCTGTCTCAGCCTCTTGAGTAGCTGGGACTATAGGCATGTACCACTGCGCCTGGCTAATTTTTTTGTGTTTTTTTTTTTTTTAATTAATTAATTAATTAATTAATTTTTTTTTTTTAGACGGAGTTTCACTTTTGTTACCCAGGCTGGAGTGCAATGGCGTGATCTCGGCTCACCGCAACCTCCACCTCCTGGGTTCAGGCAATTCTCCTGCCTCAGCCTCCTGAGTAGCTGGGATTACAGGCACGCACCACCATGCCCAGCTAATTTTTTGTGTTTTTAGTAGAGACAGGTTTCACCTTGTTGGCCAGGATGGTCTCGATCTCCTGACCTTGTGATCCGCCTGCCTCGGCCTCTCAAAATGCTGGCCATGCGCCACCACGCCCGGCCACTTTTTTTTTCTTTTTATGGAACGCTTTATGAATTTGCATGTCATCCTTGTGCAGGGGTCATGCTAATCTCTGTATTGTTCCGATTTGAGTGGATGTACTGCTGAAGCGAGGACCTGAAAGCATTTTGTGCAAACGCAGCCAAGCAGAGCAAAAAAAAAGGAGGTGGGTGGGTGGTACTGGGATCAGAAGACATAGATTCAAATGCTAACTCTGAAATTTACTACTCGTTTGACTTGGGAAAATTACTATCACTTTCTGAGCATCTGTTTTCTCTGTGGTAAAATGGAGATGATAATACTGATATTACAGAGTTCTTATGAGGACTACAAAATGCAATAGGGTGAGCATTTTATGGAGAGCTGGGCACATGCACTGTTCCAATGACAGGTTTTATCCTTAGATTATGTTGTATTCTTGTACGTCTCTCACAGAAATCACTCTCTTATTAGACAGTAAATTTCTCAAGGGCAGAGACGGTCCTTCATTTTTATTACCACTCCCCTCCCCTCCAGCTTAATGCTGGTCACATGGTAGCATACAACAACGTTTTTGGTAATGGTATATGAGAAGGAACCCTAGTGGGGAATGCAGGCTGGAGAACTCTGTTAAAGACTCTGAAACTGGAGACAGGGGCCGGGTGTGGTGGTTCACACCTGTAATCCCAGCACTTCAGGAGGCTGAAGTGGGAGGTTCGATTGAGCCCAGTAGTTCGAGACCAGGAGTCTGTAACAAAGTGAGACTTCATCTCAACAAAGGAAAAAAAATCGTTTTTAATTAGCTGAATATGACATTAAGGTGGCTTGTGCTTATAGTCCCAGCTGCATGGGAGGCTGAGATGGGAGGATTGCTTGAGTCTGAGAGGTTGAGGCTGTAGTGAGCCATGGTCACGCCACTGAACTCCAGCCTGAGTAACAGGATGAGACCCTGTATCAAAATAATAATAATAAAAAAAAAGCTGAATGGAGTCTAAAAGCTATACTTTGTACCAGGCCCTAGAATGGTGTTCTACCTTTAGAAAAGTTTGAAAATCCAGTGATTTCTTTTCTTTCTTTCTTTTTTTTTTTTTTTTTTGACACAGTTTTATTCTGTCAACCAGCCTGGAGCTATCTTGGCTCACTACAATCTCTGCCTCCTGGGTTCAAGTGATTCTCCTGTCTCAGCTTCCCGAGTGAGTAGCTGGGATTACAGATGTGCAGTACCACACCCAGCTAATTTTTGTATTTTTAGTAGAGACAGGGTTTCACCATGTCAACCAGGCAGATCTCGAACTCCTGACCTCGTGATCCACCTGCCTCAGCCTCCCAAAGTGCTGGGATTACAGGCATGAGCCACTGAGCCCAGCTTCAATATTTTCATCTCCAGTATTTCATTTAGCCCATTAAAAAATATGGAGATAATTTAAAAAGTAATGTCCTATTCTTGCCTTGTAGATTCTATTTTTTCTCTAGCTCTTTACACATTTAAAACAAATTTATACATATTATTATTTAAAGTGATTTGTCCAGGATGATGTAATGTTCTTTTCACTGCATGCCTTTGTATTCTTTTTCAAATTGAGACAGGGTCTTGCTATGTTGCCCAGGCTGAATTTGCACTTCTGGCCTCTAGCAATCCTTCTGCCTCAGCCTCCCAGTAGTTGGGATTATAGCTTCTTACTACCTTGCCCAGCTCCAAACTTATTTTAAAATCTCTTTCAGATAGTTCTATTACTCCTAGTCCCTGCACTGTAGATTCTTCCTTTCTGTGTATTTAATGCATCTCTCTCAAGAGGGATGTTGGTTTCCTCTTGTGTTAAGATTTTTGGGCTGCGTGTGGTGGCTTATGCCTGTAATCCCAGCACTTTGGGAGGCTGAGGCGGGCAGATCACGAGGTCAGGAGATTGAGACCATCCTGGCCAAAGTGATGAAACACCGTCTCTAAAAAAAAAAAAGAAAGAAAGAAAAAAGAAAAAAATTGTAGAAAAAAAGGGTTTTTGATGGTGAGCTCACTGTCAAAGAGAATTATTGCTCGAAAGGATGCAACTGCTCTGGTTTGTGGCAATATCAAGTCCAATGTTTCTTACTGGCCTCTCTTGTGATCTCCAGGGCTAAACACACTAAGAGTAATTCCTGCTATTAGCAATAAGGCCCAGAGCCTAGGCCACAAAGAAAGCCCTGTAGATCACTTCTTCCAGACCTTCTTTGTGTAGTCAGACAACCAGCACGTGGTTACAAGCATGCCCCATACCTTCTAAGATGCTGACAAGGGCTGTGTTAATTTCCCTTCCTCTTATTCTCCCAAAACTGTCCCTCCAATGTGGGGAACAAGATGATCCAGACAGGTTAGTTATTAGGAACCATGCTGTTTATTATACAGGTCCAAACTTTCTTTCTTTCATTTTTTTTTAAGATAGGGCTTCACCATGATGGCCAGGCTGGTCTTGAACTCCTGACCTCAGGTGATCCACCCAGCCCGGCCTCCCAAAGTGCTAGGATTACAGGCGTGAGCCACCGTGTCCGGCCTCAGGTCCATACTTTCTTAAGAGTGTTTACTGAATTGATTGGGTGGTGATTTTTTTCCTCAAGAATGAAAGGGAAGCTCATGAGTACATATTTCTAGGGTCTCATTTCTAGCTTAAAGAAACTTTCAGGCCAGGCACGGTGGCTCATGCCTGTAATCCCAGCACTTTGGGGGGCCAAGATAGTAGATCATTTGAGGTCAGGAGTTCGAGACCAGTTTGGCCAACATGGTAAAACCCTGTCTCTACTAAAAATACAAATATTAGCCAGGCATGGTGCCAATCACCTGTAATCCCAGCTACTCGGGAGGCTGAGGCAGGAGAATTGCTTGAACCTGGGAGGTGAAGGTTGTAGTGAGCTGAGATCGCACCGTATCACTCCAGCCTGGGTGACAAGAGTGAAACTCTGTCTCAAAAAAAGAAACTTTCATGGTTTTTATTACACAAAAGTAATAAATATATTTAGTGTTACATTCTTACATGGAGTACACTATGCTAATTTTTCCAAATACATAGGCAGCTCCTCAGACTTTGTGGAATTCCTAGAAGATGACAGAGTCCTTTGATGGCACTAGCTGATTATTATCAGACTTTGATCCAAGAGATTGGAGATATTGACGATTTAAGGTTGGAAAGGACAGGTGCTTTTCTCTTTTTCACCAAAGAGTTTATAATCTGGGACAGATACACACACCCAGGGCAATGACAAGGGTAACGTAGGACAAAGCGCTGTCTGGAAGGTGAGCTGAGAGAGCTGTGGGAATCAACATGCCAGAGTAATTAATTCTGCCAAGTGGAAGAGAAAAAAGGAAAACTAGAGAAACAAGGCAACCTTTTGGATGCTCTTGGAATGAGGATTTTGCCAGGAAGATGAGGGGCTGGAGGGCATTTGTGGGAGAAGAAATAGTTTGCACAAAGACAAGGGTGATAGCCATAATGCTTGGGTGTGAGAAACATACATCTGTGTTATTTTTTTCTAAACAAAATGAAAAATGGCTCAGGGTCCCCACCCACTTCTTGTTAGGAATACAATGTGCCATTTTTTGGGGGGTGGGGACACAAGGGGCTAAGGTAGACGGTCTAAAATGTTTGAGAATGGGGCTCTGGTCTTTAGGGCATCATGGTTGCCACTGAGATAGATGTTCACTGTTTCCTGGGCTCATAGGAAGGGTGTTCACAGTGCTTACTGTTCCTGGGTGTTCCTCTTCGAAGGGTATACAGGTTTCCATAGAGGTTTGCAGATATCTTTAGAGCTGGGCTGGGATCAAGTGGTTCTTCTTTTTTTTTTTTTTTGATACGGAGTTTCGCTCTTGTTCCCCAGGCTGGAGTGCAATGGCGCGATCTCGGCTCACCGCAACCTCCGCCTCCTGGGTTCAGGCAATTCTCCTGCCTCAGCCTCCTGAGTAGCTGGGATTACAGGCACGCACCACCATGCCCAGCTAATTTTTTGTATTTTTAGTAGAGACGGGGTTTCACCATGTTGACCAGGATGGTCTCGATCTCTTGACCTCGTGATCCACCCACCTCGGCCTCCCAAAGTGCTGGGATTACAGGCTTGAGCCACCGCGCCCGGCCGGTTCTTCTTTTTTTTTGTGTGAGACAGTTTCCCTCTGTCATATAGGCTAGAGTGCAGTGGCGTGATCTTGGCTCACTGCAAACTCTGCCTCCTGGATTCAAGCGATTCCCCTGCCTCAGCCTCCTGAGCACCTGGAATTACAGGCATGTGCCACCATGCTTGGCTAATTTTTGCATTTTTAGTAGAGATGGGGTTTCACTATGTTGGTCAGGCTGATCTTGAACTCCTGGCCTCAGGTGATTCTCCTGCCTTGGCCTCCCAAAGTGCTGGGATTACAGGAGTGAGCCACTGCACCCAGCCTGGGATCATGGGATTCTGTACAAAAGTTTTACTTAATGCCTCTGCTTTGCTTTCAGTACCTGAGCTCTGCCCTAAACAGTGCCTACTGCATCTCAAGCTTGGTTCAGCGGCTCCAGAGAATACACCTCTTGCCTCTTGTGAAGGTAGGGAGGGGTAGACCCTTGATTGCAGAGGGGAGAGTTGGGTCTGGAGTCCAAATGCTCTTTGTGTAGGCTTTCAGCGAAGCCTTCTCTTTTCAGCAACCCCCACTCGTCACCATCTTCAGTATCTGCTGCTTCAAGCTCTTGAGCCTGAGGGCCAGCATACTAGCTTCTAGTCCACCCTCTTCGGTTTCACTTCACGCCCTGGGCCAAGCTAGTTACTGCTTCTCTGTGAGCGTGAGCGTTGAGTCTTTGCATTTTACTGTTTGGGACTACAGATGTGTATCAGTTTCACCGGGGAGGAAGTTTTTATTGCTTCTTGTTCTTCTTGTTGGCTTTGGATGATATCTGAGGAAAGGATTACGCCACCAGCTTTGAAACATGCATTCTTCAAGTTAAAATGATCTTTCCCTCATTTGTTCACTTTCACACACTTCCCAGTTTATGGTAACTTTCTTTTTCTCCTCTTAGGCCATTAGACTTTCATTTACTTTTCCTTGTATTAAAGATGAAAATCCACCCTAATTTAAAACATTTTATTTTTATTAGAGTTATTAATGCTCATAGTTTTTTTTTTTTTTTTTTTTTTTTTTTTTTTTT